ACTGGGCCATGTCTCCTGATAAAGCATGCAATTCCTGAAACATTGTGTACATGGCAATAAAGATGAAGACAACAGTTCAAATAATGTAGTGTAAATAGTTACAATACCTCATCCATATAGACAGATACTAATTATACATAGCAGTTAAGAATAAATTTGGAATACGCCAATATATCTTTGTTTTTTGCATGGCAGTGTACACAGTGGATGGAAGGAAAATGTTGTTCTCTTCCAAGACAATGCAAGGTTGCATACAGCAAGCCTTACTCAGAAAAAAAAAAACTTTAATGCAAAACACTTTAATGAGGAAAACATTTTCTAATTAAAATCATGTTCAAGAGTTTGTCAAAATCTTTTCACATCAAAACCTGTAGAATTTGACTCAAATTTATCAAAGAGCTGCCTGATTATCTGTATTATTTTGTGACAAGTCTTCGCACATAATGGTGAATATAAGAATAAAACTGATGAACAAAAAAGAGAAATTATTTATGATTCAACCTAATACAACTATAAATAAAACTGACAAAGCTTTAATCTTGTAAAAAAGCAAATTGACCATCGTAAGGTTCAACAATCCCTATTTGTAGTACAATTGTTCAAGGAGGAGACAGCTATGGTTTCCCTTTTCACAAGAAGGTTTAGATTCTGGGTCTGTAAAGAAGGTTTCTCAGTAAAACTATGCATCCTTAGCATTGATATTTTAAATAGTTTGGTTGAATAGATTTTTAAACTGTCTTTTGTAATCACTTTGTACATCAATATATAAAAAAGAAGTAAAAAGAAGTGTTTGAATTCTGTGTAGCACTAATTATCTAGCAATGCTAGTAAATGCTGATTTTTGCCCAAGAACAGATGAAACTTTAGTTAAAATGATAGAGAAAGTTGTTTTAAAGAAAAAAAATTATAATGACAAAATGTTGCTAAAACATGATTGTTATCTGTAATTTTATCTGGAACCGTGTTATCTATAAATGAGTTACTTGTACACATTTTCAAATTGTGTGAGAAAAAAAAAGTATATATAATGATCATTTCTATGTGAGAGTAAATTATCCAGTATTTTTGGAGTGCCAGATTTTTTGTCTCTATGAAGTCTGTCATCTATTCCTTATTTCATTTCAATTTCATTGACATACTCTTGTAAATTTTGTTTATTTTGTTAAATTTTCAAGTTAAAGGTATGTCACTTAGCTGATTGATGTTACCTTCAGCATACTGAATCTAGAGTTTTGTAGAAGGACCTGTCTGTCCACTTTTCAGGGTGTATAAGTAATATATATATATATATATATATATATATATATATATATATATAGAGAGAGAGAGAGAGAGAGAGAGATGTAGGGTGGGAACATAGAAATTAACACTGCAGGCTGATGGTCAGTTTCACACATCAAGTGATCATCAAACAAATTCTCTATTTCTATCTCTTCTTACCTCACAGATGTACCAAATTTTAAACAATGTACATCTATCTATCTATCTATCTATCTATATCTATCTATCTATCTCTCTCTATATATATATAGATCTCTCTCTCTCTTTTTATATATATATATATATATATATATATATATATATATATATATATATATATATATATATATATTATTAATAGCTCAAATGCATATTTACCACCAAGCACAATTATTGAAATGATAGCCTTAAGCTTTAGTAAACTTGTACTTTAATGAGTTAACCTGTTCCACCTGCAGTTTAAATTGGTTCTACCCATTGAGTTCTATATAAAATTATGGTTTTTCCACTGGGGATCTATAAAATCAGTTTGCCTTTGGTTGCAATTTATATTTTAACCCAAGCTCCAGGGGGCATAGCCCTAGGCTGCACCTCTCCCTTGTGAATTTATTGCCCAGTGCCTTGATGTATCCCTAAAAGGGGAAGTGCTGAGGGAGTTTCAGAATTTCACCATGGCACTGTTGATAATCCCACCTTAAACTCACCTTGTTTCACATCTGGTTGCAAGGTAGGTACATGTGTAAATATCTATAAAATCAATTTGTCATTGGCTAGTATTCATATTTTAACCCAAGCTCCAGGGTCATCCCCCCATGCTTTACCTCTCCCTTGTGAGGGAACTGAGTTTATTGTCTGGGACTTAAGCCACGCTAAAAGAGAAGTTTTGAGGGGATTTGGGAATTTTTGAGTGGTACTACCAATAAACTAACCTTAAACTGAACTTGCATCACATCTGTTGCATGATGGAAGCACTGATGAATATGTATAAAATCCATTTGCCTTTGGCTGGAATTTATATTTTGATTTTAACACAAGTTCCAGTGGGCCTTCCCCCCAGGCAGTAACTCTCCCTTTGAGAGGGGGCTGGGTTTATTGTCCGGTGCCTGATGTGTCCCCTCAAAATAGGAAGTGCAGAGTGGGTTTGGGAATTTTCCCACCATACTGCCAATAAATCTACGTTAAACTGACCTTGTGTCACATCTGATTGTGGAGGTGGGGGTGCTGGTAAATACCTAAAAATATATTTGCCTTTGGCTGGGATTTATATTTTGATTTTAACCAAAGCCCCAGGCAGTAGCCCTTCCTTGGGAGGGGGTTGGGTTTATTGCCTGGGTCCTGTGACATTCTCAAAATAGGAAGTGCCGAGGGTGCTCCAGAATTTTTGCGATGTATTGCTATAAACCTTCTTTAAATTTATCTTGTGCCACATCCAGTTATGATGTCGAAGCCTTGGTAGATACCTAAAAATCTATTTTCCTGATGAAGATTAGATCAAGGGGGGAAAATATGACAAAAGTTTTTCGTGTGACGGGTTTGGTCCTTTAGGACTTCATCAGACTAAGTTTATATTGATGCAACTAAATATACACATGAATGAGAGACACTGGGAATTTTAAATTTCAAGATTATTTTTTTAAGTGTTATAAATTCATTTAGATTCTTTTTCTTTTTGTTTGAGTTTCCATCACTTTTGTTATTAATATCCCACATTGTGATAAAAGGATATCTGTCAAAAACAAAAAAAATCAATTTTAAAATTTAAAATTCTCATTTGTGTGCATGTGTAGTCATATCAACATAAACATAAACCAATAATGATGTCCTAATAAACAAAATATATCACATGAAAAGTTCTGTATAGAAACCTGATATTTATTGCATCAGGTAGATATTTATGAGATAATGCTTAAAAATTCTTGGTTCAAGCAAGAAATGATTCCAAATTCAAAAAAAAAAGGATCGTTGTTTAGTCACTAGGTCAGATTTTGGGAAGTAGGGTTGGTTCATTAAATTTTCAGCACCCCCATCTTGTCTTGCTACAAAACAATAATTATGGGGTTACTTGTAAGATGTAAACACATCAGCATCAACATCTGCATCATTGATTTTGATAACAGTAGCCTTTGTTTTATCTTGTATATAAGAGCTTAGCTATCAAAATGTTGGCAACAATCTGGGATGAAATTCTTGTCATTTATTTAGTTGTCATCCCTAGAATTGAATTGAGGCAAACAAGTGATCATGTTCATAGTTCTGTTAATGTAGGAACAAAGGCAATATATCAAAGTAAATGTGGAATTGGTCAGTTACTTTGTTAGTAATTCTCTCATTGTGTTGACCCTGGAAACATTGCTGAAGTATAGGTCACTGTTTCAGTCTGCAGATTCCATTTTGCAGTATAGTGCCATATCCTTTCCCTGTAGACTCCCATAGAGAATAGATCAACAGATTCATCCTGTAGAATTCTTTGTATAGTATAGTGCCACGTCCTTGACCTGTAGACTACTTTGTGAAGAATACAGCCAAAGTCTCACTACACAATGTGTTACTTTCGTTTTTTCTATAGCAAGTTGTTTATACAGGTTCAATTGCTAGTCCCATGTCTAACTGGTTTTAACCAAAATTGGTGGCGCCCATTCTGCTCTGATATTAAGCATGGGTAAACACTTAATTTGGGTGAGCTTAAACATAAATTTATACCATATCCAAGTGTATTTGTGTGAAGGCGAATGCAATGGCCTCAGCTGAAATTTGAACTAAACATTACAATCCCACTTTTCATACTGATTATGCTACATACATGTTTTGATTGCTAGATTATGAAATAATGTATATTTTAAGTTCAATTTATCTATTTACCTTTCTTTCTATATTCACATACAGGCACAAATATACATATTTCTCATATATATATATATATATATATATATATATATATATATATATATATATATATATTTATATATATATATATACACTATACTGTCTCCGGGATGCGTGTATTTCGTTGAAATGTACACAACCCTTAGACAGTTAGCATAAAACTCATCGACAATCAAGACTCTGAGACATGGTATGTTTTAGACACAGGTTTATTGACAGTCGACAAAGGTAAAACTGAAAGAAAATAAAAACACGTTTCTTCAGAAATATAGAAATACAAAATGAAGGTGAATAATTACTAAGACCTTAAGTAGTTGTAGGTACGATAAGCTTACAGAATAGAAGCATTTGAACGTAAAAAATACTCATAGAAAGAAAAAGAATACAAATTATGCTGAGTAACAGTCAAGTTCCGAGAGGAAAGGTGGAGGTTCCGCACGTGGTGAGAAGGTAAACAAAGTTCGTTTAAGGAAGAAAATGATACTAAAAAATAATGCTTGCATTAAATAATTCCATAATAGGAAGGAAGAAAGGCGATAGTTCTTACCGGAGATGTCCAAGAATGACGAGATATTTAAAGGATGAAAACTATGCCATGCGGCCAAGCTGGGGGCATGCCATGTGGCCGTGCTGGGGACAGCTAAACTAGATAGAGGCTGAGCACCGGGAACCTTCAACCGGTGTAGGGTCAGAAAAAGCCCCCCAAGCAAAGGGGCCGATAAAGGAGATGGGTGCTAGTAGGTCTGTTGTACACAGAACAGAACACTCCCCGCCTGACGTCTTGGACGTCAAGGAATGTGCTAGTTCTCGTCACAGGGAAGGACAATCCTGGTAACGGGTCTGAGGAGGTGTTTAGTTCACTCAGTTCGGTTGCGGGAGGGCGGCACAGAGCTCCAGTCTGGGAACTGAATGTTCGGGTCGTGGAGCAAGTTTCGCTTTCCCGTGATGAAGCCAATTTGGTTGTTTCCTTTATCGTCGGTGACCTTGAGATAGGCCACTGCAGCGATGGCTTTGGTCGATGTATCGGAAAAGATGTGCAGCTCTTTATGTACTGCTTTTTGAGAGTGGTATGTTTGTGAAGGCCCTAGGATTCGGACCTCGTTTAGCGCTTCCAAGGAGTCTCTCCATGAAGACCAGATTTTGTGCATTTCTTGAGGAAGAGGTGAGTCCCACTCTCTGTTTTCATGGGTTAGCTCTCTCAAGATTAACTTTCCTTGAATGGTGACGGGGGCAGCAAATCCCAAGGGGTCATACAGACTGTTGAGGGTCGATAAAACGCCCCTACGTGTAAAGGGTCTTTGTATCGCAGGTTTCTTATCGAGGCTACGTCTCGGTGAAGAAAGTCGACTCTCTGCCAGTTTCCTGTTATATGGGAGACGACGTCGGGGAGATCTAAAGGGTAGAGGAGCAACCCAGCTGTTGTCTTTGTCTTTCTCGGCTCCCAGCTCCATGATGTTCAGGAAGGCAATATCTTCGATAGAAGGCGCCGCCCTTTCGTCGTCCTTGGTCCGTTGAAATAGGTGGTCTTCCATCTCGGTAGAGTATGGCCTTTTGCTGATGCTGAAGCTCTCTTTAATTTCGAATCTGTTCGGGCACGGTTTGAGAAGGGTAGGGCGTCCCCCATCAGATATATGTGTATGCAATGTGTTTATTATGGTGGGTGGGTGAAATTTCCCTAAACAGACATTGCCAACTATGACCCATCCGAGGTCCAGTTTCTGTGCATATGGGGCATCATGGGGGCCGTTTATATGTTGGCGCACTTTGTGTACCCTTAGAATGTCACGCCCCAGAAGGAGCATTATAGGAGTTTTAGGCTCCACGGTGGGGATGAGGTGAGCTATTTTTCTCAGATGTGGGTGGTGGAGGGCTGCCTCAGGAGTTGGGATGCCGGACCTGTCGTTGGGTATTTTGTCGCATTCGACGAGACTTGGAAGTGGAAGGCTGTTTTTCCCGTCTAAGGATTCCACCTGGAAGCCTGACGCTCTTCTTCCCATGGTTTGTATAACTCCGGCACAAGTTTTAAGGGAATAGGGGGAAACTGGGCCCATCATTTTTAAATGTGTCAAAAAAGTCTGAGCGTACCAAAGACCGGTTGCTTTGTTCATCGATGATGACGTACATCCTCACTGTTTTGTCTGGTTGGTCTGCAGGATAAACATTGACGAGGCATATCTTGGAGCACGACTTTTCTGAGAGGTCACCACCGCAAACTTGTGTGCACTGCGAAACCACTCCAGTAGCCATAGGGGGGTTATCCTCCCCGCCGTTCTCTGCAGTGGATCTTATGCTGATGGGCCAAGGTGGTGGTCCTGGATGGAGAGCAGTGTTGTGTTCTTCACTGTTACACTCATTGCATGTAATATTCATTCTGCAGAATTTCGCTATGTGTGCTGTGGAGGAGCAACATTTGAAACAGATGCCATTGTTTCTTATAAAAGTCTCACGCTCTTTCAAGGGTTTCTCTCGAAAGGCGCGGCATTTCAACAGTGAGTGGAATTTTTTGTGTAATGGGCAATATTGGGTGGGGTCGTTGTCATCTTTGTTTTGCCGACGCGTGGTGTTGAAAACTGTGGGGGACACTTCGGTCTTATTCACCGATACCACCCTTTGTTTGCTCTCTTGTGAGGGGAACCTACCCACCAGTGGATTGACTTTGAAGCTTGGATCATTTTTTATCCTAGCTTGTTGTGTAATAAAGTTCACAAATACCTTAAAAGGAGGGAACGTAACTTGGTGCCGCTCCTTATATTCGGAACCAACAGACAGCCATCTGTCCTGAAGTGAGGATGGTAGTTTGGTTATAAAGGGCGGAGCCCTCGAGCAGTGTCCAGGTAGGCGAGGCCAGAAAGGTTTCCATCTTCCCTAGCTGACAAGAGTTCGGTAGCTAAATCGCTGAGTTCCTAAGTCTAGGAAGATCGTTGTTTGACAGTCTGGGGGAAGTCATCTACTCGTTTGAAGAGAGCATCCTCTATCATTTCAGGAGCCCGTAACACTCCTCGAGTCGGGCCCATATTCTCATGAGCCCTCTTTCTGGGTGGTTCAGGTGGGCTGACCTTAGCCTCCTTGCATGTTCCCCTGACTCTTTACCAAGCCATTTTACGAGGAGGTCCATTTCCTCGCTGTATGTGAGACCGAGGTGTCTGATGGCACTCTGGAAAGACCGCTTCCATGCTCTGTAGTCCTCAGGTCTATCGTTAAAAGGTGGCAGTCCAGTGGTGATGAGTTCCGCCGGGTGAAGTACCTCACAAGGTCTGAGGTATATTGAGACTGGGAGGCGTTCGTGGTGTTGGTGGGGTACCGGTCGTTAGGAGGTTCGGTGTCTTCGACACGTGAGTTAGGGGAGTGATAGCTGATAATAGGTGGGGTTGTTTGGGTAGGTCTGTCTGGGCTCCCTGGCCTATGAGGGAGAAGTCGGTCTCCGCGTTCAAACCGACCATACTGGTATCCCTGAACGATTTGTTCATTAAGAGGTGGTTGGGGTCCAGTCATCTCTTGTTTCGGTTGGCTTGCTTGGTCGGCTAAGTATTCTCGGACCCGTGTGCTAGGGTCAGCGGGAGTGCAGTCGAGTTTTGAGTGGTTGCAGCTGGACCGTTCTTTTAGCTCGTCGGCAGCTTCCCTCAGAACTTCTGCTTCAGCTACGGCAGCAGCCGTCTCCTTTTCAAGCTGTAGTTTCTCCAACTCCATCCTTATTTTTAGCTCCTTGTCGATGAAAGCTAAACGTGTTTTGGCTGCTTCAGCCCTAGCTTGGGCGATAGCAGCAGCAGCCGCCGTAGACGATCTGCTGGAAGACCGAGAGTAGCGGGAGGCATGAGTCCTTGACCGATTTGACACGTTGTCTGCCATTGTTGAAAAAAAAGGATGATTGGTAGAAGAGAGGCGAAAGAATAGCTTCGTTATACTGAGGATAGTTTTTTTTCAAAGCGAACTGTGTGACAACTGTTGTTGGTGTTGCGTCCGTAGTTCCGACGGTTGGTGTAGACAACGAAATATCCGACCATTAGGGGAGCCTCCGTTTTACTATACTGTCTCCGGGATGCGTGTATTTCGTTGAAATGTACACAACCCTTAGACAGTTAGCATAAACTCTCATCGACAATCAAGACTCTGAGACATGGTATGTTTTAGACACAGGTTTATTGACAGTCGACAAAGGTAAAACTGAAAGAAAATAAAAACACGTTTCTTCAGAAATATAGAAATACAAAATGAAGGTGAATAATTACTAAGACCTTAAGTAGTTGTAGGTATGATAAGCTTACAGAATAGAAGCATTTGAACGTAAAAAATACTCATAGAAAGAAAAAGAATACAAATTATGCTGAGTAACAGTCAAGTTCCGAGAGGAAAGGTGGAGGTTCCGCACGTGGTGAGAAGGTAAACAAAGTTCGTTTAAGGAAGAAAATGATACTAAAAAATAATGCTTGCATTAAATAATTCCATAATAGGAAGGAAGAAAGGCGATAGTTCTTACTGGAGATGTCCAAGAATGACGAGATATTTAAAGGATGAAAACTATGCCATGCGGCCAAGCTGGAGGCATGCCATGTGGCCGTGCTGGGGACAGCTAAACTAGATAGAGGCTGAGCACCGGGAACCTTCAACCGGTGTAGGGTCAGAAAGAAGCCCCCAAGCAAAGGGGCCGATAAAGGGAGATGGGTGCTAGTAGGTCTGTTGTACACAGAACAGAACATACACGCTAATTCACCACTGTTTAGAATATTGCTGCCACATATGGTCTGGTGCTCCTGCTATTTATGTAGAGCTCCTTAATAAAATCCAAATAAAGATCAGCAATATTATTGGTGCTGATCTGACATCTCAGCTTCAGGCACCTTCCCACTTTTCAGTAAACACTTAATTTGTGTGAGCTTAATTAAAAAAATACATATGTATACACACACACACACACACACACACACACACACACACACACAAAACATATATATATATATATATATATATATATATATATATATATATATATATATATATATATTGTTTTTACTTGGTGGAAATCATACAGTTAATCCCATGCCACAGTTAAGTGTGTACTCAGTAGTAATGATAATATTAGTTGTTTCCCTACAGGGAAACATTTCGTATACATTGACTAAGCAGACAGTACTGTTTTGGTTGAAATTTATAAAATCTTTCTTTGATTAGGACATTATTTTCTCTTCAAATTACATGTTCTACCCATTTTAGTTGTTGCTGCTATTGGTAGTCCTGAAGTGATGTTGTTTAAAATGTCTTTGTTTCTCCCATTTCGCAGTAATAGGCCCTATAGCACCGCACTACTTGAGTCTTAGGGATATACAGTCAAGGAGTTGGTCCTGGGTATTACCAAACCTCTGCACATCATTGGGCCCACTTTTTCAAGCATCTTGCCATTTTTCAGCCAAAGACATTCTACTGCAAAGAAGATGCAAAAACTGCCTTCAAAGATTTCTTAGAACCTAGACCATTAGAGATTTATCATAAAGGTATAAATAACTTTGTAACTTGATCACAGAAATATTCAGATATTCCAGGTTCCTGTATTGACAAATTTAAAAACTGTTTAAATACATTAATTCTGGAGTAAGTGTTGATTGTAAAATCGGATATTATTTTCCAAATAAGCTAATAATTTATTTTCAATTCCAAGATTCTTCAGGATTTAGGTAATCATGGCTCCCTTTTTTTTCTTTTTCTTTTTTATTAAATCATCTTGGGAAAGACAGTACAGTTCTTTCCTATTATCTTCTCTCTTAGTTTTGAATTCAGATTTCACCATTCCAAGCCAGAGAGCCTAATCTGCATCTATTATATACTATGTCCCTTTAGGTAATGAGCAATTATGACTCTCCATAAATTCTTATCATTGTAATTCTTGCCATTGATTGTTCCCTTAATATTCCTTCTGGGTCCTTGTTCTGACATCCATTTACATTGGGTCCCTCTTCTCCTCTTGTCTTCAGTAGATCCTGCAAGTGTCAAATTCTCAAAGCCTTTTTTCTTGCTTATGTATTCTAAAAATGTTACTTTTTGATTCTAAGAACAAATATCTCTTTCTCTTCTCATTGCTCTGAAAATTTCCTTGTTGCATTAATGCTCCATGCATGTTATTCTCGGCATCTTTTTGTATAAACCACATCTCTGCTACCTTATGTCTCTTCTTCACCTGTTAGAAAATGTTTCAGCATTTACTGCCCCATGGGAGGAGTTGTAGTGGACCATGGGCTTACGTGTTGTAAAATGAAATATGCGTGAATCTCCTGATAAAATAAAGTCCACTACAAGAATATTGCAGACTCAGAGATTGAATCTACCATAAAGAAATGTAAAAGGAAAACAAACAAGACCGATATATATATATATATATATATTGTCATTCACAGACAGACTGTTTTTCTGTATCACAGCTCATCAGTGTGGCTAGATGTCCGGTTGCCTCTAGCTATGATCGAAATCCGACTGAATTGGCATCAGTTGGGATTCTACCACTAAGCCGTTGGCACACGGCAGGGATGAAGGTGAACTTAAGCGTATTTATTTTTAGATAAACACACAGTGACTGAGAGAACTCGATTCGATTTACCGAAGAGTACACAAACAGGTATTAAACGACAAATTTTACAATGGACAAAGACATTAACATGTGTGTGTGGAAATTTCATGTTCAATGAATGTTCGTACATACATATGTGCATATAATGTTCATAGTGTCTCTCCAAGAAAATGCATAGCACCCCAAACACAAATGAGAAGACACAATCTTCTGCAAGAGCTTACATTGTAGATGTGTTCGCTGAAAATGAAGAATGAAAAATAGAACGAGGCAAGAAATTGCCCATGTATTTATAGAGTAGGGAGAAATGAACTATTTGGACAATTAAAGAGGAGTTAACTCTGACAGAGTTATATTACCTACCCTGTTATTTAATCCATAAGTGAGGGGATAAGAAATGGATTCATGTCTTTCCCAAGAATATTAGTGCTAAATTAATGCAAC